TTAAGACTAGGATGAATTGGTTACAAAACGACCATGAATAGCACTTGCAGTAACCGGGTGTGTTGCTATTAATAGGCTTGACCTAGATAAATTGATCACGTGACCTACGCTATGCATGCGTGACCAATTCAGTACTTTTGAGCGTGACCAGATGTCAAAATTGACCTGTTTTATGGGCTTCGACTTTTATCTATGTTTAGTACTGTAATGCTAAGGAAGTGCTGCATTTTCAAGGTTCCAGCAACTTGGCGTCAAAGTAATAGATTCGTGTGCAGAACATGATACCCCTGCTCAACGTTATTTCCAATTCCACCTAGTCTGAGGCTTTCTTGTTTGGCTAAAGTGGCTAAAACGATGCAGCTCACACGCATTGCTCTACCTGGGATTTGTTGTGGTCTTGAACGAGTAAATTGAGAATTAAAACCTTACTGTGAAGTAAGTTGATTCGTCCTGCCCGCTGTCGATGAGTGCTGGGGCCCTTCCAGGCTTGAAGGGCGATCGACAACGGGCAGGACAAATCGTTGCTGTATCAGTTTGTGATAATCTTTGGGATGGGATCGTCCGGATTCACCAGACCCTCTAAGCCCTGACTGGTCCAGTCGGGATTTCCAGTTACTGGATGGATGTAGTGTGCACGAAAAGCACAGCAGCTTCTACCTTACTTCATATATATATATATATATATTACTAGTACGACGAATAAGGTGAGGCTCCCACGACTATCATCTTCCGGGCTGGCGTCGACACTGCCTAGATTTATTTTGTATGAACGAACATTCAGTATGTGCTGAGCGTGATACCATAACACATGTTTTTGCTCATCGTGATTCCATAACGCGACTGCACCAAATTATGGATGGGCTTGCTCACAAGTCAGACCAACAGAAGCGGTTGAAATTATTTACTATAAAAATCGTTTTCATTTCACTACTACAAGTGCTGAAACCAAGTTTCGTGGTAGAATGGATTTTCTGCTCGACCACGGAAAAAAGGTGAAGCTTCATTCGCAACATCTATGATCTGATGTTATTAATACGTCTCATTGATCTGTTTTCAGTTCAAGATTTGGTGCCCTCGTACCTTACCCAGAAACTGAACCCTAGCTGTGCCATCAGTTCTGACGAGACATAATCCATAATCCAATAATACATGTATGTATAAAAGTGGTTCTCAAAGTCGAATGTTTTGAAAGTTTCCAACCAATAGGATTGCATGAATCCGTCCTGCAAAAAACCTACAGAACTGAAAGTTAGTACCATAAAGTACGGCTGGCGTGAGACAAACAAAACATCGAAATCCAATAATGTTGGGCACTTGTTGCTGTTCCAACCTAGCGACATGTACAACATACAAACATCAAGATAAGCCGCTTACGCTACCAATATCTCCAGGACGGATGTCATTTTCGGTCTTACGATTTGCTCCGCTGCGCGTCGCAAAGGCAGTCGCTGCGCTCCTGCCGACAAAACGATTCTCTCACCTGGGGTAGGCAGGCCTCGGCTCGCTGAGGAGCTCGGCGCTGGGCCCGCCTTCGCAAATACCGCACGGCCCTCCTTCGGGGGCACCCCGCGCGGGTTTGCTGCGGCTACGCGACCTCGCACCCGCTCGCCTCCGATGGTAATCTCCGAGCTGATTTGAACTACATTTCACCCCCTCTTTCCTAGGTTGGAACACGAACCACTCTCATAATGTTGACCACCCCTCCCATCCAATTAGGATGTGCAAATAAATTCGATGCGCTGCTAGCCCCGTTGAAGTACAGTTGCACCTCGTTTTCGGCAGGTTGGACCATATCAAAACATAGAATGCATCATTTCTTAAGAGTGATTATGATCTGAAACACGTTCGAATCCGGTGCCGAAAACGAGGTGCACGACTGTAGCTGTGTCCTAGGAACTAGGTCGTCTGCGACTGACACTGTGAATACAAGTACATATTTTTGTGTTGAGATTATGATTCAGAGTGTGGCGGTAACATGCTTCAACCAAAATTGGCGTAATGCTAATTCCGCCCTAAGTGACGACGGCGTTACTCCAACATCGGTTTGCCGTGTAGCCATCATAGCTGTCGTGAAATCGAAGAACTAGACTTATTGAGATACTAGTTTTTATAAGATCTAGCTGTTGAAGCCGTCCAATATTCTATTTGATCGAATATTTGATGGCATTATTAGAATATTTCACTGCCACGCTGTAGAGGCATCGACTACTCCAGTTTTCATTTATATCCTACGTCAAATAAGTTGCACTTGCCCAACTGAAAACCGGTGTTAAAATAACGTATAGATAGCCGCTGCGTAGGCTTACTTGTGTGTAAATCGGGCGTCGTCAGAGACAGCAGTTTCTCCTCACCTCTCATTCTGATACTCTTCCTGATGCCACAAAAGCCACAAAACCCACTCAAGCAGCGTTCAGCTCTCTTTTCTTTTGGTTCGCAATACCTCGCATACTCTTTCGCTATCATGTTCTCCACACAGAATCTCGTAGAATACTCTTCATACTTGCGCTTCATAAAACGAAATATAATTTGCAACATTGCCTGTGCTTTCTTACGCAAAAAAATAAAAATAAACAGCAGTCTTTTCGACTGAGAAAAGTGAAAAATATATTTGATGTGAATCGAATGTTAACCGAGGTTGTTACGCATTTCGATCTACGCAGTACCGTGGAATTTATCCGTTGTGGGGTGTCCATACCTCTATGAGGCATTCCCAGTATAATCTATGCAAAAATACACACTGTTCTCGTGTATGTCGACGCTTTGGTCTCCCCATACGTGGTATGTTACTAGCGCGCAAAATAGTAATTGTGTCCGGAAAGGTTAGCCTTGGAGGTTGTTAGCTGTTGCGAGAAAATTCTCAACTGAGC